TGGATATCGGTCTCACGTGTGTTTCAGGCAGTTGTGGATTCATTTGTGGCCGATGATAAGATCAAGCGTCGTATAGCTGAAGAAAGGTGTCGACTTGGGAGGACCTACGCCGATGTTACGGCGAACGTCGGGGGGTCGCAGAACGCCAATCAGCGGGTGTTGTTGCATAAGGGAAGAGCGGATAATGAGAGAAGAGATCCTAATGCGGTATTGAGGGCTCGCATCCAGGCTTTGAAAGGGGAGTTAGATGAGTTAGTTAAGATTGTGGATAGTGGGTATATGGTGGGGTCCAGAAACACTTACTGCCGCAAGTGTGGGGTGGGATTAGATGAGTCTCTAGATAATGGTGCCTTAGATGCGAAGTTGGATTCTAAGGAGCTGTCACCTATAAGGACCCAAACCAACGGTGACCAGGTGGGGGACGAATCTAAGGGCGAGTCACAGATGCGGACTGAAGTAGATATTTCATCTGGTGATGGCGATAGGGCGGGGTTGGAGGTAACAAATAGAGGTGAATTGGTTTCAGCGGTCGAGGTACATCACGAGACGGAGTTCGGGGCTAAAGTAGGGGAGCCGGGGACTACGGTTCTGGATTCAGAGGTTTCAGAGGTTTTGGAGGCGACCAATTGTTTAATGAGTGAGGGCGTGTTGGTCGAAAGGTCAAATTCAGTGATTGAGAAGCAACTTGGCAGGACAGGCTCAATTTCATTGGTTAAGAATACCTATTGTAGGAGATCTGCTAAGTCTCCGAAGGAGGGGGAGCCACGGAATGATAATGCGTTGGTGGTGTGGGTGGATGGAGTCGAGAAGGAGGACACAGAGAGTGCTGTAGTACGGGTGGAGGAAGAGGGACATTTTATTGATCCCATCTATGTGGGGGAGATGGCGGAAGTTAGTGCACTTGACATCAAATCGCAACCTTCAAACTGGGTTCTTCAAAACATTATGGATTTTAGTAAGATGGTAGGCGTGTCATGTGATGGGTACGAACTTACACTTTTGCAATTATTCGAGGATTTGGAGGCCAGGAGGGGACATGAGATGAGTATATCGGGAGGAAAGACAAGAAGAAAGGGTGACCGTGAGCTTAAGCGGCTTGAATGTTCGGTTAATTATGCTGTCAGGGGTGGCGAGTCAAGAAGAGGTCTCATGGGGAGGGGCGAGGCATTGTTTAAATGATCCCAAAAATAATCAGTTGGAATGTGAGGGGGCTTAATGAAGCTGGGAAAAGATTGGGCGTTCGGAATCTCTTAAAGGGATGGAGGGCTGACCTTGTTTGTCTACAAGAAACTAAGTTGGAGGTTGTTCCAAGGGCTGTTGTGAGTAGTCTGTGGGGGGGACAGCATGTCGGGTATCAGTATACAGGATCATCCGGGGCATCAGGTGGAGTGTTAGTGATGTGGGACACTAGAGTTTTTGATGTGGAGGAGGTTAGCGAAGGGCTATTTTCCCTATCGCTTTCATTTAGAAACATTGGGGATAGCTTCCGATGGATGTTTATAGGAGTTTATGGGCCTAATGTAGATGAGAGTAGAGATGGATTGTGGCATGAGTTGGCTGGGATGATGAGTTGGTGGACCCTCCCAGCGTGTATTGGAGGTGATGTCAATGNGGGATAGCTTCCGATGGAGGTTTATAGGAGTTTATGGGCCTAATGTAGATGAGAGTAGGGTTGGATTGTGGGATGAGTTGGCTGGGATGATGAGTTGGTGGAACCTCCCAACGTGTATTGGAGGAGATTTCAATGTGGTTCGATTTCCTACGGAGAGATCTAGTGGGGGGAGAGTTACAGGGGCTATGGAGGACTTTTCAGATTTCATTCGGGAGAACATGTTGGTGGACCTGCCTCTGAGCGGGGGAGATTTTACTTGGTCATCTAA